AGGGCCAAGGCTAATTGTGCAGGCATTGCACGTGACGTCGGCACTGCATGTGATCGTGGGAGCGGTGGTGTCACGCTACAAACCCGGCGACCCGAGTTCACGGCCACCAACACCAGTGACGATTATCTGAACCGATCCTTGGCCCTCCTCTATGTCGACTCAGCCTCAACACGAGTACCTGGTGCGGTGCGTTGTGTGAATGTTCACAGCACTTGCCCCAACAGTCTGTCAAGGCGACTCGGGGAGGGAGGGGGGGGGGGTCTTTGTCTTGGATGTGATGTCAGTTACTACACAACTCAAACACCGCGTCAGTGCCGCCGTCACCTACGTGTACCTGGACACGTTTCGTCGCGCGCGACACCAGCGACGCGACGCGGCGCGGCTCGACTGTGTGGCGGAGGAAGGAGGGAGGGAAAGGAAAGCGAACACGAAGGCCAAGGCTGGTGGCACCGTCACGACTCCGGCCGCCGCGACTGGCTCTCGGCCTCGTTGGCCGCAATGCGGGCGGAGGACCGGCGCGATGTTATATATATGTTATATATATATTTTATATATTTCGCACGGATCGGTTGTTACAGCGACAAACTCATCACGGTTTTCATCGATTTCTTTTTTTTTCAACCGGCGCGTAAATACAGCACGCGACTACATGCACCGTCAGACGAACACGACCCCGGCTGCGAATAGCCCCCACGAAAAGACGCGAACACCACATGCACGTACGGATACTCGGATAACACAGGCAGCAGCAGCAGCAGCACAGGCGACGCAAGCGCCAGCAGCAACCCCCACTCCCCCACCGGCCCCGAGAACCCAGCGCAGTCCCACGTCCCCACGGGGCACCCAGCAGCACGGGAAGGGCAACGCCGCCCTGTGGCCGAGGGCCTCGGGGCGAGAGAGGAGCCCTCGGGAGTCGATCCTCAGCAGCGCGAGGCAGTGGGGGGGGGGGCGCTCCATCAGACACAACGGACTCCCGGCCACGCGCAGTCGGAAGGCCCAAATCCTGGTCGGGGGGTCGACTCGCTCCCCACCCGCCAACACATCATCCTGACGGCGTCGGTCAAACGAGCGCGCAAACGGCGCGAGCTGGAAACACGCGCCCTCTTCTCTGGGGAAAGATCGCCTCCCGCCATGGGAATGTGGAATTTGCACGACTAGCTCGGCGGTGACGGTGGCGGCGGCGGCAGCTTGTCCGAGCAGAGGGATTATGGAAGTCCGACTTTGAGGGACCGATTCGTCTTCTTCTTCTTCCCGCAGCACAGGGGAGACTGGGCAGAGACCGCACTCTTGAGAGGCACCCCTCAAACCCTGCTCAGAAAGAACTTCACGCGAGCGACATCGCAAACAGCCGGTGGCCGCGCCTCTGACACCGCTGGCCTCCGCAGCGCATTGCCATGGCAAGGAGGTTCGTGGACAGAAATGAAATCGGGCGCGCGAGACGGCAAGCTGGAACTTATGAAAAATTATTTGAACGCCAACTTACTCAAAGCGCCCCCTCTCACTCAACCCAGGAGCAGCAGTGGCAGCAGCAGCAGCAGCGGCAGCAGCAGCAGCAGCATGGGGCCGGGACCTTCCTCAGTTTGTGGTGCCGAGTCGACGACGGAAATTCCACCTGACCGAGGAAGGTGCCAATTTATCCACGAGAACGAACACTGAGAGTTGCACTTGAGGTATTGACCCTGGACGGAGGGGGCCAGGGAGAGAGAGGTGGGTCCTGGGCCAGAATTTGAACTCAAGCTCACGCAGACAGCGCCTAGCACGCGCAGCGTCACTGCCACGATTCACTTCACCCCACAAAACACGAAATATTCCCGGGTCAAGGTCACGGTCCAAGCATCGATCCTCTCCGTCCCGTTACCACCGTCTCATTTATTGCCCGTCTCGTGTCCGGTTTTCTCCACCGCAGCCCAAGCGTGACGTTACTTAACCGTCACACGCCCGCGTTATTAGGCTTTCCCCGCACACTGCTAAGCTGTCTGTGTGTGTCTACACACACATATATATACGTGTACACACATATATATGTGTGTGTACACATATATATGTGTGTGTGTGTACACATATATATGTGTGTGTGTACACATATATACATACAGAGAAAGAGACCACGGGGCTAAGGTGACTGCAAACTGCAGAAGTTCTAAACCCCTGGAGAGGGCAGTAAAAACCCCACAAAGCATCCCAAGCGCCGACGCTCTCCCGACAACTCTCTCTTTGGAAGCCGCGTGCGGTGCGCGAACGCGATCAAAAGTGTGTAGCGCGCGTCGTACAAGCAACGCGCCGGACTCGCCAACGAGCGCGCCGCCAGCGGCGGTGGTCCCAAAGTGCACAGCCGGGAACACCGAATAAGAAGTCAAGTGACTCGCTAACGCAGCACCGGTGGCAAATGTGCGTTGTTGTTTAGAGAGCTCGGGTTTAGGGGCTAACGAGCCGAGGTGTAAGGACAGCGCTGGGGTTATAACGAAGGGGAGCTCGGGGTAGGATGAGGGTGCAGGCCCGGATCATGGTTAAGGATAAGCTTTGCACGAGTCTTAGCATTAGGGACACTAAAGTGGGTTAAGGCTGTGTTATGGTTAATGACAGGGTTAACATCAAGGTGAAAGCATATATGGCATGTTTAAGAACCGGGTTAGGGTTTGGACTTTAGATACCCACTACAGGCTGAGCCGAGGTTATAGTCAAGGCTTGGCGTCCGGGTTGCGGTTCTGCATACGGCAAGCGAAGCGTCGAGTCGGGGCTCAAGTTGGAGGCTTTCAGCAGGAGGAATGGCAGTGCCCCCCACCCCTCGTCCTCCTCCTGCGCCCGTCACACGCCGAGACACCAGCAGCCAGACGCGGCCAGACAGCAGCCAGACGTGGGAGCGAGGGGGAGCAGGGGGGAGGGAGCTGAGGGGAGGGGGGGAGTTGGAGGGGGGAGCGAGGGGGAAAGCTGGGGGGAGGGGCAGCTGGGAGGAGGCTGGGAGGAGGCTGGGAGGTGCTGGGAGAGGGAAGCCAGCCACGATGTCTCCTCTCGAGCGGAAGCGTCTCCACGCTCGATGGAGCGGTGCCGCAGTGCTCACCACGCTCAAGTTGACGTGGACGTTCAGATTTGGGATATTGGGCCGTCATTGTTGTTGTTATTCGTTGCAAGTAATAACCACTTGTACACAAGTCAATGAATTACTTGTGATGATAATCGAAAGGTCCGGGGTCTCGTAACAGTGGCGTTGTGAGAAAGAGCTTCACAGCTCATCAGATTCCTCCAGTCTGAATCAAGATTCGGCCTCAACCACCCCCCAAGCAAGGTACTTGCTGGGTTGGTTCACGACTCAGGGCTAAATGAGTCACATGGGTGCCTTCATCGGGTGGGCGAGTGCGTGGTCGAGTGGGCGAGTGGAGCGAGCAAACGGGTGGGTGAGTGAGTGGGAGCGTGAGAGGGTGAGTGGGAGCGTGAGCGGCCGAGTGGGTGAGCGGCTGAGTGGGTGAGCGGCTGAGTGGGTGAGAAAGCGGGTGGGTACGTGGGTGGTCGAGTGAGTGGGTTGGGCGAGTGGGCAAGTGGGTGAGTAGGAGCGTGAGCGGGTGAGTGGGTGAGTGGGTGGGTGAATGGGTAAGAAAGCGGGTGGGTGCGTGGGTGGTCGAGTGAGTGGGTTGGGCGAGTGGGTGAGTAATGGCATCTGCAATTGACCAACCAATCTCAGACAAAGCTATAAAACGGCGAAATCCCTCGCAACCGGATCTCGCGTAGTTGCCCCTCTCTAATGGCCACAGGCGCGAAGCAGCAGCGGGAATGACAAATAAAAAAATTTGGCCGGTAGAAAGAGGGGAGGGTCCGTGAGGTTGAGCACGGCGGATGACGTTGGGTCTCGTGAAGGTGGCCTCTGCGTAGCATTCCGGCCCACTGGGGAGCAGAGAGCCCGTGGGAGGCACGGCACGACGCTTGCAGGAGGCACGGCACGACGTGGGAGGCACGGCACGACGCTTGCAGGAGGCACCGTGGCGGCGGCGAGCAGAGGGCATCCCCGCACGGGTAAGAGCAGCCTCACTGCCGAATGGCTGAACAACAAAACGAGGGCCGTCGCTCCCCGCGCGGGTACAGCGGCAGCGGTCACTGGCGAGCGCCCAAAAAGCATCGCATGATCGAACCCCGGCGAGGTGGGGGTGGTCAACTCAGCATTTCGTCTCTCCGGGGAGGGGGGGGGGGGGGGGGGGCGATTTGCAGCGAGGACGACCCACTCCTGTGTCCTCTGTGGGGAAGTCGACAAATATCCTTTCGTGGAGACATCAATCCCCCTGCAATGGGAATGTGGAATCGGGGAGGCCGATAGGCAGGGATGCGCACCGCTCGGACTCCGCTTGGAGAGACGGTTTGAAAACGGGGAAAAAAAATTATAAATCGCTTTGGGTGGCAGATTTGTGCCGGAGAGGCGCCACATGTCAGTGAAGCAAAAGCACCACGGTGGCGAGATGTTATCTCCCTCGCCTGGTGTGCAGGAGGTCCTGTGTTCGATCCCAACCCAGACACGTGCTGCTGTATATTTGTAATTTGCATGTGCGTCTCGCTCTCCCCGTGGTCACGTGGATTTTTCTCTGGGTCCTCCGGTTTGTCCCTTCACGTGTAGAATCAACGTCGCCACGCGTTTAGAGTATTTGGCTGCAACACATTTCGGCGTGATCAGCCAACTAAGCTGAGCAATCATTTGTGGTGGCCAGGTCGCTTCAGGCAAAAGAGCTACATTGCTCAGTGGGCCTTACCTGCTAAACTAAAACATTTTCAGTTTCGGAAACCCGACTTGAAGCAGCGACACGGCCAACGGCGCTGGCTGGCTCCCTCGCCAAGAACGGCGAATTTCCACCACCGGCTCAGGGATGGGGGTGCCGCTCACTGCTCCGTCGACCATGGCGTCTTTGCTTTCCGCTCACATCCGGGCAAACTAAACGTCGTGGCTTCCAGTCCGGTGAGTCCACGGCAGTCCTTGGCAAAGGTCTCGTGGTGCAGGACGTAACGGAGATGGAAGTAGAACGAAGAGAGCAATTGGGTTTATTTGTTGACTTGTTTACACTGTGCATTAATGTTAATCGGAGAGCGAGCGCTTTCCTCCGGTTGTCCACCTTCAGACCCACAACACCTCCTCGTCACTCGAGAGAGGGCTCTCAGCTGCGTAAACGAACCAATCGCAAAGGGGAATCGGCTCGTACTTCATGAGCTGTCCCCCTGTGAAATGCCTAACCGGGATATTTCCATCTCGGCGTTGCCCCCAAACGCCGCGTCTCCTCCCGGCTTGTAATTCACGAGAGGTGACCGGAAGGTCGATGGGCCAACACGGGAAGCGGCGAGTAACCGTGATGAAGCCACGGAACTTCTCTACGGGGGCTTTCTGGAAGTGCAAGTGAGCTTTCTTCATCATAATCATCATTTAACACATAGTAGGCTTTCATGGCCGATATTATCAATAATCGTTTTTTTTTGTGGTTAGATCGCGTAAATATAAATGTCATCATCATCATCATTTAACACGTAGTAGGCTTTCGTGGCCGATATTATCCATAATCGATTGTTTTTTGGGTTAGATCGCGTAAATATGTGTCATTTAAACTCGCCACCACCCAACACAGCCAATTGGTAAGGCTTGCCGTGAAAAAAAAAAAAAATTACGTCTGTCGCCTGGTGAGGATGGTTGTTATCACCGGCGAAATGTGACAGTACTCGAATTGTAAATGTTGTCGTGGGTTTATCCTCCACCACACAACCGGTTGGTGTTGAACTCGTAAGGAACCTGTCACATTCACCATTTGTTTCAAGCAATACGATTGCAAACGCCTCGTCAACAAAGACCAGAGTTAGCTATCAATTTGTAATCTGGTGATCCTTCCTTGATAACAAGAGATGTTCACCTGAACAGCGACCCTATCTTGCAGCTCCACTTCTCTTTTCAGGCCATGGATTTTGCGTTCATCCCCCCAAAAATAAAAAGTACAATAATAAAAATAATAAAATAGCAGTGGCATTAGTCCATAATTCAGGCAAAACAAATTAACACTGGAAGGCACTCACGTATACTAGCATCGTCCCCAACACGCTCACCGCCTACGCTTCTACTTTCTTCCGGGCAGAGCGGGGAGAAGCCGCGGGGGGAGGGTGTGGGGAAGTGGCTTTCCGGGAGGAGCGCCACCACTTTCCCAATCGTTTGCGCCGAGCCATTGGCGGGCGAGTTCTCCGCTGCGATCGCGCGTCTCGGTCGCTCTTGTCGAGCGGTTGAACCTTGGCGGTATAATTCGAGTGTTCGATCGTGGCCGCGATTGCGCCCCACGCTCCACACCCCCCCTCTCTCTCTCCAGACACGTGTCCGTCCCGCGATCATCAATCGAACGTTTCCCACTGCTGCCTGCGCTGCGTGACGTCGCCGTCACGTGACCCGGGATCCGGGAGCGGGAGAGACGTGGGCGGGTTCGGCCTCCTCGCCCGCGCAGGCATCTGGTTGGCCGGCGCGGTCACGTGATGGTTTGCCGCCGCTGCCACGAGATTGGCCGGTGGGAAGGTTTGATTAAACGGAGACGTCTGATTGGCTAAGAATGGAGGCAACTGATTGGCTGGCTGCACAGGCAGCGTCCTGTTGGCCGCGTGCGGGGGCAGCGGCACCGGAGCTTGCATCCGATTGGCCACTTGATAGTTGAAGGGGAACGTCCGATTGGCTGGCGGGACAGCCGGACCGCACGTCGCGAACGCAACGGGCGTGGCCTGAAGGCAATTGGCCAGCGCGGGCGGCGGCTGCTGCGGCGCGACCGCAAACCGATTTGCTGGCAAGGAAGCGATCCGATTGGCCGGCGGGAACGGGGCGAAGCGATTCGCCGACACCATCGCGGGATGTGGAGCATCGAAGAGGCTCAGGGCGGGCGAGGGGTGGAAGCGCCGCGGGGCGGGGGGAGACGCCTCCAGCAGGTCGCGGACGCTCGGCTCCCCGGCGACGGTGGCGGCGGTGGCGCCGGGGAGCTGCGTCCGCCGCTTCAGGGGGTCGAGCAGATCCAGGAGGTCCGGCTCCTCGACCCCCCCGGCGCTCCCCCCGTCGCCGCCGCCTTCGCCGTCTCCCGGCTCGTCGAGGCTGACGAGGTCGTCGAAGCCGCCGGGGTGGCGACGCGCCGCGGCCCTCTCGGCGCGCCGGCGCGGCTTGGCGCCGTGGTTGTTGTTGGAGTCCCCCGCGTCCGCTCTCGAGGGGTGGGCGGCCGGGGGTGGGGCCAGCAGCCGGGGAGCGCTCTGGTTGGTCGGGAAGCGGGGCAGGGGCGGAGTCAGCGACGGCAGGGAAGCGCCAACGTCGGCCAACGAGAGGCCTGGAGCAGGCGGCTGAGGACACGCACGCACGCACACACGCACACACGCACACGCATGCACTTCACACATGGCGTACGTCCTTGACGGAGCTGGAATCCACCGAGAGGTGCTGATCTGCACTAGCAGCCCCGAACCACTGCCAGGCCCTCCATAACACAACCACTACCAACTTCCAACAGCTCGGTATCTCGTTAATGAATCACCAATCGTGATTTTCACCCAGAACCTTCCAATTGTGGGTATACATTATGCACTCTATAGTGTGGCACGCCGTCCCTCTCAACACACGGCAACCGAGAACCTGGCTGAAGCTTGAGTATCGATCGATTCCCAGGGAAGTGTGATTTGAAGTCAAGGTCTGACGCGAGCCAAACCAGCAACCCTCGTCCACCCCTTTCATGAACGTGTGTGTGAAAGTGTGTGTGAAAGTGTGTGTGTGTGTGTCGACTCAGCCTCAAATGAGTACCTGGTGCGGTGTGTAAACATCGCCACTAGGGAGACAAAGGTGGTCGGGCGTGTTTGCTCTCCACCCACCCCCTCGTGTACCGTTCCGGCCTTCATAGGTGTTCGCTAACAGCACTTGCCCCTACAGTCTGTTAAAGCTATACGGGTGATCTTTTATCTTAGTGTGTGTGTGCCCCGTGACCTCCTGCCAGCAGGCGTTTGACACTTCACGTGGCCTCAAGGTGCACAAAGGGCGGTCCTGCACAGATTCCATATTTTCTGTCCGTCTGCTACAGCAGAGGTGTAGGGAATTCCAACAAGACCTACATCTCTGCTTTATTGACCTGGTCAAGGCCTATGACAGCATCAGTAGGCCTGGGCTCTCGGTTGTTCTTTGTGCTTTCGGAGTCCCTGACGCTCTGCTCATGATCATCAAGTAGCTTCATGATGGTGAGCGGGCGCGGGTAAAACTACGTGGCCGGGAGTCAGAGCCTTTCCCTGTACACCTTGGGGTGCGACAGGAATGTCCTCTGGCTCCCACATTATTTAACATCTATTTTGACCACGTAGTTCGTGAAGCCTTCAATAGCTGTACCGGGAGAATTTCCATTTGGTACAGATACAATTGGAGGCTGATCGATGCCTGGGTGCGGTCAAGGGATGGCTCCCTATTGCTCAACCATGTTATGTATGCCAATGATCCGGTAGTTGCCGCTCACTCAGAGGAGGAGTTGGAGGCGCTGCTGCTGAACCTGGAGCTTGCCACTAAGAGGTGGGGCCTTACCATCAGCCCCACCAAAACTAAGCACCTGCCTGGGCATTTTGTACCATCGGACAATCCACCCACACAACTCCCAATTGGTGATAGGGCAGTTGTGGAGAGAGTGGAGAGTTTCCCATACCTGGGCAGTGTGCTCATGACTGGCTCCGGTTTAACAGTAGAGGTCTCACTCCGAATCAGTCGAGCGGCATTATCTTTTCATTGGTTGCGTAACGCTGTGTGGAAGCTACCTGGTCTGTCGCTCCGCACGAAGCTTCAGGTCTTCTCGGCCACAGTCATTCCCTCCCTTCTCTATGCTTGCGAAACATGGACCCCCCTAATGTAACATCTTCGCCGGTTAGAAACATTTAGGCTGGCCTGCCTACGATCCATCCTGGGTGTAACCAGGCTGGATTGTGGGAGCTCACAAATCCTTGAAGATCTGGACAAAATCCCATCGGTGAGCTCCTCCGGCAGGCAAGGCTGCATTGGCTGGGTCATGTAGCCCTTATGCCCAGTCACCGCATGCCTAAACAGCTTTTGATCGGCCGGATCGAGGGGGCTAGAGAAGAGATGGAGTGATGTGATACAGGAGGATGTGGAGCTGAGTGGACTTGCCGATGACTGGTACCAGCAGTGTCAAGATCGGCCTCTGTGGAGCAGGCTCGTGAATGACGCTACTGGGTAGTTGGAGGCAGTCGCCCTCCACCAACAACGGAGGGCGGAGGAGCGACGCTCACAACAACGTGTGGAGCACCGTGTGGCTAAAGCACAGCAAGTTGGCACAGTAGGAGGCACAGGTGGTGCATCAGCCAGTCATCTCGGTCATCTCAGTCAGTCGACCCGTGGCACCTGAGTCTGCCCCGTGACCTCCTGCCAGCGGGCGTTTGACACTTCACGTGGCCTCAATGTGCACATAGCCTGGCACAAGCGTCGTGGTGACGTCACCACCACTTAGTGGCGAATGGCAGTTGCTGTTGTTGTGTGTGTGGGGAGTGGTGGCGTCGTGGTTAGCGTGCTGCCACTACGAACCCGGCAACCCGGGTTTGATTCTCGCTCACAGTCGACACCAGTGACGAATATCTGAACCGGTACTGGGATGCCCTTAGGTCGACTCAGCCTCAAATGAGTACCACATACAGTGTGTAAACATTGCCATTGGAGAGACAAAGGCGGCTGGGCGTAGTACTGGCCACTTACCCTCGTGTGCCTTCTCGGCCTACATCGGTGCTACTCGCTAACAGCACTTGCCCCAACAGCCTGTGAAAGGCTATACGGGGTATCTTTATCTTTGTATGTGTGTGCGCGTGAGTCACCCTGCTCATGAGTCGGTCTCCTCGCAGGTCGTCCAATGACTTCGCCGCCAGCTGATGCCGCACGGCCTCCGCCGGCCAATCGGATCGCTCCGCACGGTTGTGATGACGATTGTCCAGCGAGCGGTAGGGCTGCGACCTGGGAACGGCCACGCAGCAATCCACGGTCACTCTCAACATCCCCCACAGCATTGACATCAACCCACGTGAACACTGCCCCAGGTAAATATTGCCCACAGTGAACATGACCCCAGGTGAACACCGCCCCACGCCTCCATCTCCTACGGCAATGTCACGGAGTCGACTACGCGAGCACACGGCAAGACCACCGCCGGCCGACTCAGTCACCGATTGGCTGCGGTGGACTCGAGTGTCCGCGCTGATGCGCCTTAGCCGTGCCCTAGCCCCTCGGGGAGGGCCTCTCGGAGAAGATCCAGCACGGAGCGGCTCTGAGCCCTCGCAGCTTGCAGCAGCAGCAGTAGCGGCAGCAGCAGCGGCAGCAGCAGCGGCAGCAGCAGCAGCAGCGGCAGCAGCAGTGGCAGACACGGCCCCAAAACGAATTTCACACGGTCCACGGGCGGCATGGGAATCCGGAACAGGCCGCAGACATCCCCCATTGCAGCATTTCAGCAGCACTAATCAGGTACTAAAGGGAAAATCTTCCACCTGGGCACCACGGTGCCGAGATGTTGACTACCTCGCCTGGTATACAGGAGGTCGTGGTTTCGATCCCGACCATGATGCCTGCTGCTGCTGTATATTTGGAGTTTGCAAGTTCTCCTCGTGGTCACGTGGATTTTTCTCCAGGCCCTCTGCTTTTTCCCTCCACTTTCAGAGTAGTTGGCTACTGCTATAAATTTCCACGCGATAAGCCACTGCGTTGAGCTGTCATTTGTGGCTGCCAGGTCGCTTCTGAAAAAGAGCCACGTAGCTCAGTGGGCCTTACCTGGTAAAAATAAAAATTGTTTAGTTTCACAATTGTTTATAGTTTCACTGCGTTTCAAATCACAGAAGTCACCGAGCCATGCATATAAACGCGCATTTGGCGGAGCAATGTATTTGAAAATGCCATTCGGGCTCTCAGCCAGGGAAAAGATTCACCCAGCCCTGGCTGAGAGGAGCAACCCAAAAACACAAACGCAACTTTGCCCAACACATTCCGAACATCCAGCGAGGCAACAAGAGTGACAGGGAGCTTCACTCGCAATCAGAAAGCTCGCGAGTTCAAGTCCACTCAACCCACAATTCCTTGGTGGCCAATAAAATGAGTACCTTTGTGGGTATAGGTCGTTGGCCTCTAGCTCACTAAACTTGTATATTACCAGGTAAGGCCCACTAAGCAATTAAGCTCTTTTTCAGATGCGCATTGGCCGCAAATGAAAGCTCATCGAAGCGCTTCATCATGTGGAACTTTATAGCATCCAAATACTCTCAAAGTGGAGGTAAAATCCGGAGGGGCCGGAGAAAATCCACACGACCACGGGGAGAGAGATGTTGCAAACCCCAAATATACAGCAGCAGGCGTCAGGGTTGGGATCGAACCACGACCTCCTGTATACAAGGCGAGGCAGTTAACATCTCCTAGCCACCGTGGCTCTCTAGCACGACCGTACCGCCTACCGCTGTGCCAACGTGGAATTTCCAAGCCCGGCGAGTTTCTCAGAACCGCCGACATCTCCAGCCGGTCGCGCACAATGCGGGGTTACGAGTCGAGCCACCGACGACTTGCATCGGCCCACAGACTTACACCGAGAGCCACACCCTTACAGAGACCTACACGCTGACCGACATAGCCCAAGTTGTTATTAAACTGGGCTTGCAGGTCTTGGTCCGGTCACTAATGTTAAATCGGAATGCAAACAGCTGGATGGTATCAGCAGGGCATGTGTGCCACCCAGTGGTGGTTAAGAGGGTGGTGAAGAGACGTCACGGTTTGGTCCGTGTTGCCGTCTCCTGGGTTTGCTCCGGCGCTAAAACCGAGCGATGGATGAACACGGCCCACAACAATTCACAAAGGGCCTTTCTTCTACCCTCCTCTCGATTCTGTAAAAAAACAAACGCATTTTTCTCTTACCAGGTAAGGCCCACATGGAGCTCTTGATCAGAAGCGACCTGGCCACAAACGATCGCACCAATGAAGTGGCTCATCATCGTGTGGAAATGTATCGCAGCCAAATACTCAAAACACACGTTTCTAAATCTGGAGGGGAAATCTCAGAGGGCCCAGAGAAAAATCCACACGACCACGGGGAGAACGTGCAAAGTCGAAATATGCAGGTGTCAGGGTTGGGATCAAACCCACAACCTCCTCCATAGCAGCGAGGGAGATAATATCCCCCCACGGTGGCGGCTCTTCACGACCTGCCCACATGCTTCACTACCGCCCACATGTTTTCTGTGTTGCGTCAATCGTGCCCCTACACACGACACGCTGTCTCTCTCTCGATCACTCCCTCTCTCCCCGCGCACGCGCGCGTCACGTACATGCAGACACACCAGCGGAGGTGACAGCCCAGTAGCCGAGTGTCCGGAAAACCAGGAGCGGAATCCTCGGGGTCAGAGCCGGAATCCTCCAGAAAATAAGGGCTAGAAATACAAAGCAGGAAGGACGGGAGAGAGAGAGAGAGAAAGGGGGGGAGGAGCCACACGATAGGAAGCAGAAAAAGGGCCCAGAAGGACCGGAACATTTAAGAGGCGGCGTTGGGAAATGCGTGCGTTTACATTTGCGCGAGTGCTGAGCGAAGGTATTCCAGTTTTTTTTTAGGACATCAGGACAGAGGAAGGATAGCGACAGATTTGAATGTGGCGGAAGCGATATTTATAACCTTCAACCTGAACACACCTGACTCACAACAGTAAAAGCGCTCACTCACGTGCCATATTCTTCATTACGAATACGGAAGCGTTGGGGATGCACGCGTTACGTAAAGACAAGTAATGAGTTCCAGAAACGAGCCCCGGTAAAAAAAAACCCACAACATTAGGCAAGTTGCCCCTTGCAATCACACCGCCGTTTAATTCGACGCATGCCAGCTTTAACAACACCGCTGTGTTATTTAGCAGCACGTGCCGACCGGTTTGCTTTTCAGGACGGCGCTTCAAACGCAGTGGACGCGCCGACATCCCTGGCGAGCGGGGCCCAGGTGGTCACGGTTCACCACAGCCGCCGCCACGGGGCCACACGCAGCTGCTGCTGCCGAGATCAATCCAACACGACGAGCGGTGCTCCACTTCGGAAAGTCGTCGCAGAAAAGACGACGGACATCACATCGCCCCCTCCGTGGTCTTGTCGGATTTTTTTTGAAAGCCAAGCAGAAGACGAGCCTGGACTTTCCTCGGTGGTGGCTGGCAACCGCAATGCATTATAGGTGCCATAGGCTGTGAGATTGACACAGGGCGGGCAGCAAGCGGGCTCTGCGGTGCAACCCACTGCAGCAGTACAGCAAGTGGACTGGTCTCCATCTGTACGCGGACGTGGAGCGTTTTTGCCCCCGGGTGCTCCGTTTCCTCCTAACAATTAACAATCGCTCGTCGGCGGGATCTCCCATGCCGACATAGGACGGCAGAGAGCTTGGGGCTCCATCGTTTGGCAGCGCCGCTTCACGGCCGCCCCCCTTCCTGCCTCTCGTCTGCGCGGCTTCTTCCCCCCCCCCCCCCGGCGCCACCCGAGCTCGGGGAGAACCGTCGCGGCGCGCGGCACACGGAGTCGCGGACGCCCTGCGCGGGACTTGCGAGGTGCGGGCGTGCGTACATGTCCGGGCTGGGCAGCGACGTGCGCTTCCAGTCAGCGACGTCCCCGTTGGAGCCCAGCGGGGCCGCCCCGGCGGCGGCGGCGGCGGCGGCCCCGGTGGGCGAGGGGTCGTGGTCCGGCGAGGCCCACGGCTCTCCCAGGCGGCTGAACGTCGTGGGGCTTTCTTGCGGGGAGAAGTCGTCCACGGAGGATCCCTCCTGCGGGCCCCCCACCCCGCAGAGGCAGCAGGGTGAACGACCAACCAGGGGGAGTGCGGGGGGGGGGGGGGGCGCCGTGGTAGCGGATGGGCCTTCAGGCCAGCGGTGTCGCTGCATGTGGTTGTCTAGGTGTTGTTGTCTGTGAGTAGTTGTTGCTGTTGTGTGCATGTAGTTGTCGTTGTGCGTGTATAGTTGTGCGTGTGTAGCGGTGCGTGTGTAATTCTTGTTGTGCGTGTGTAGTTGTGCGTGTGTAGTTGTTGTGCGTGTGTAGTTGTGCGTGTGTAGTTGTTGTGCGTGTGTAGTTGTTGTGCGTGTGTAGTTGTGCGTGTGTAGTTGTGCGTGTGTAGTTGTTGTGCATGTGTAGTTGTGCATGTGTAGTTGTGCGTGTGTAGTTGTTGTGCGTGTGTAGTTGTGCGTGTGTAGTTGTGCGTGTGTAGTTGTTGTGCGTGTGTAGTTGTTGTGCGTGTGTAGTTGTGCGTGTGTAGTTGTTGTGCGTGTCAGGGTCGCACCTTCTGCTTGAGGCGGCTCTTCACCTCCTGGATGCCCATGCGTGCCTGGTCTTTCGCGAGTTTCGCTTGCTCCCTCGCCTGCTCACGCACGCGCACATCAACGCACGCGCACATCAACGCACGCGCGCGCACATCAACGCACGCGCGCGTACACACGCGTCGGCAACGATCCTCCCCCGCCCCGTGAAATCTTTAACAGAGTCAAGGCCTATCGAACGTACACAGAGGCAGGCCGTGCGCTTGCCGAGTCCTCGCAGGAAATCAGCAGCGGCTACGATGTACGGGGTAAGCGGAGACGGGGGGGGGGGGGTGCTCGCGAATAGTTGTCTGCGTGCGTCTGCATTGCGTCTGAGTGCGTCCGCTCACAAACTTGTACACAGACTTCACGGCGGGATTGGCCTTGGACTTCACCGTCTGGAAGATGGCCCCGCCTCCTTTCTGCAGCAGACAATTGGGGCACGGGGCAGACACGTGATCGTTTACTCGTGCGTCGAGTTTGCGAGCCAGGCACGGCTGGGCCGCGATTGGGCAAGCGGGCACGGCACCACCGCTGCTCACCCAGGCCCATGTCTGCCTTGTCTCGCCAATCTTAGACCAATGCACACGTCCTCAAAGCACGTTTGCTAGCGTGTTTTTACCACAAGCACGTGTCGTTAATGCAGACTTGATGCCTTACAAGTAGGTGATCTTACTTGGTGTTTGAACATCTTAACACACGTGTGTTATCTCCGAAGAGGGTAAAAGCCTATTAGTTTTTTCTTCAACATTTTGGTACCGGGAAAAAATGGTGCCGTAGATATAACTGCTAAAGCCGAGCTACTAATGCAGTGAAATTTGCACCGCCTCTTTGTTGTTCGCCTTATCTGTTCTCTGGCCTAACACTGGTGGGATAAGGCCATACAACAGAAGGCTGTCTCTATACTCTGTAGATCTTTCATCAGATCACGGGCACTTGTGTTGCGCCCTAAACGTCGTGATTTATTTTATTTCTACCCACGTGACTTCACCGAAAGAACCAAAGAGTATGGATTTGTGCAGTCACGAAAGCTTCAAATCCAGACTGTCTCTGGTGTAGACCAATCAATTTCAAAGACAATACATATATTTACGAGAGCATGTTTGACCACAAACATGCGTGTTTAATGCAGACTTGATGCCTTGCATTAGGTGTCTATTGGGTGTTTGAATATCGTAACACCCCTTTGTTGTATTGCCAGAAAGGGTGAAGCCTGTTCTTCTTTTCATCAACAAATAATTCACAATTGAAACAACATTGTTTGAAACTCGAAAAATCTCAACAATCATCGCCGAACTGTCTGGGAAACTATTCCGTTATTGAACAGGCTCCCGTTTAGCAATTTAAGCGCCGCACTTGAGCGTCGTCTATCGGGGTGCGGCACAAAAGGTAAAAATCTCCCCTCCGATGACACAAAGTTGGGTTGACTGTTTAAACATGTTGCACTCTTTCTGCTGAGGAAACGTCATCATACAAAGAGCTCCCCAGTAAAGTGCGATGTGAAGCAAGGCACCCAAGCGTCTAAAGTAAAATCGAGGTGAAAGTAAAAGAAAGCAACATGAAGAATAATTCGTACAAAGGCCGAGAGCAAAAGAGCTCAGACGCACGTCGATATGAGGAACCCAGCCCAACGTCTGCCACTTCACCGGCACCAAGGCCTCTTTTCCACTGCACAACCGAGCCGTGCCGGGGCCATGCCGATCCAGCCCAGCACGGCTCAGGAGAACCAGAGCCGTGCCGCCCACGTCGCCCAGAACAGGCGAGTTGAGGTGCGTGTAGGTGACACGGTGATGCCGTGTTGTCAGTCGGTGATGCACCGACTGACATCAGTCCCAAATCAGTCACTCAGTGCACCTCCGATTAGCACAGGTTGGCTACGAACGTTGCGAAAGAAGTTCACCACTCATCCGCACATCACGTGCAATGCATTCGTCATTAACCCCACCCCTGGCCCTGCTTGGCCCCGAGCCAGATTGAGACGTCTTGTGAGGCCAGCGTTTCGCTGTTTAGTTCTCGATCTGCACGGCAAAGTCAGTGGAAAAATACCCTCATTGCGTAAGGACCCCTTGCTGCCGTGCTTAATCATTCGCCGAAATACGCTAAGAAAAAAACATCAAAACCATTTTTGATTAAAGTAATTCTTAGCAGGGCCCATGGTTAAAAGCACAGTTTCATTCTGGGTTTGGGTTATAACACTTTTAATTGACCGCATACCATTTGCTATACCTCAAATCCAGCACAGATTTAAAATGTTATTCTTATCAGGCCACTATGGTGCAAAGTGCTAGTCTCAAACTCTTAGTGTCCACTCTTTTTCTGGCCTCTAAATTCACGTGTGCTATGATTAAGGACTATTGCCCAAAACGTTTCAACATTTTTTTTTCCTTAGGGGCCGTCCATAATTGACATCATGCGATTTTTGACCCCCCCCCCCCCCCCGTCGTCTCACGGCATCACTAAAAGTCAGACCCCCCCTCAAATATGACGTCACAAAGCTCTGCCCCCCCCCCCCCCAAACAATAAAACCTGCTTCAAATCGCTTTAAACTATTGTCATTGTAGTGCGTATTTCATGTGGCGCTGCACTCTGATGTTGTAGGAGAAAACATTTATTAAAAGTCTATTTAAATAAGTAGAACGTGTTGTCTATATTTACTTAAAGTTGCGCATTTTCATGTGACGTCACATTTCTCGAACCCCCCCCCCCCTCGTGACACATTGTCACATATGTCTGACCCCCCCCCCCCCCCAGGTGCATGACGTAATTTATGGACGGCCCCTACCGCAACCAAGTGGACATTTATAGCAACCAAAACTCTAAAACGCGTGATGTCGATTCTAAATGTGGAGGGAAAAACGAGAGGACCCGGATAGATATCCACGCGACCACAGGGCGAGAGACACAGATTCCAAATATACAGCAGGCGTCACGACCTCCTGCATACCAGGCGAGGTAGTTAACATCTCGCCACCCCAGCGCCCACACACCACGGATATTCCTACGTAAAATAGTCGGGCGATAGGCTAAAAGGGATCATCCGTGTAACAATGTAAAAAAAGAAACTATAACGAACGAGATAGGAGAGACTGCACGTACACCACTGGACGTTACGTCGTTTCTAATGTGGAGGGAAAAACCGGAGGACCCGGAGAAAAATCCACACGACCACGGAGAGAGAGAGACACGCAAACTCCAAATATACAGCAGCAGGCATCAAGGGTTGGGATCAAACCCACAACCTCCTGCATACCCAGCGAGGTAGTTAACATCTCCTAGCCACCACGGTATCGCTGATGATAAACTGCCTGAGATGCCCATACAACACGAGAGGACAAGGATGTTTACAATTCACAGGCAGCAGTGAGGAACGGCCTCTCTTTAATCGTTAATCCAATCGATAATCACGCGTCAGTCCCACACGACCGCTGGCAGCCACGATGCACTCAGCATGAATGTTCTAGTGAGATGAAACAAAGCGCTCACCTTCACCGTTGTGAGCCACTGATTGTAGGACTTCGTTGCTCCTGTAAAACAGAACACACGTGTGACATCGCGTGTACACGCACGCACGTGCGCAGGAACGTGTGCACGCGACCCAAGTGACTTTGTGTATGTGGTGAACGGCGGTTGTGGTTGTTGTGGGTGCGTGCGAGTTCCTGACCTCCTTCGGTCTCACTGCGGTTGATCTCCTCCTCAAACACGTCGTTAAACCCCGAGCCCGCATTCAACCGCTCCAGACGCTCCTCTATGAACTGCGCTCACCGCACAGCGTCGCACGGCATCACACACAGGCTTACACAGCATCACACTGCAACATAGCCCGCCGCACACACAACAAGCACATTGTGTGTTGCGCGCGTGCATCACCTGTTTGAATGTCATGATGTAATTGGTGCTGAGTGTTAAAAAGAAAGTGCGTGTATGTCTCTGTGTATGTGTCTGTAGGCTAGTTCATGTATCTGTGTGTGTATGTGCATGAATGTATATTGCTGCGTTATTTCATGAAGATATTTGTACTCATGCTTGTATTCGTGTGTGTGGCAGAGTAGTAAGCACTTCCGATTAGCACGGGTTGGTTACGAAGTTCAACTCACGTAGGAAATGCAGTGGCAAGCGCACTGCGCTATGAACCCGGCGACCTGGTTTCGATTCCCGCTCACGGTCGACACCAGTGACTTTTATCTGAACCGGTCCTGGGCCTCCCCTAGGTCGAATCCGCTTCAAACGAGTACCTGGTGCAGTGTGTAGACATCGCCACTGGGGAGACAAAGGCGGCCGGGCGTGGTGCTGGCCACCCATCCCTTCTTGTACCGTTCGGCCTTCATAGGTTCGCTAACAGCACTTGCCCCACCTGTCTGTTATGGCTCTACGAGGATCGTTGTCGTTTTAGTGTGTGGTCACACTCCACTTCAACTACATTATGAAATAACCACGGAGAAAGCAGCAAACGAAGTTTGTGCCGGAGGCCCTGGGGGTACAGGGTGCTCTGACGCCTCCTGGCCAAACCCCATTTGGAGGAGCCAGAAACAGCATTAAAAGAAAACCCACTGAGGTTGGCCCGGTGTAATGTTTCAACCGCTCACTGCAGAGGAGCGACTGTCAGGAGATCGACCGATACCGCCTGGACCTCCGTGGAATCCTCGAATTTCCGGTGGACTGGTTCTAGCTCCAGTCACCATAAGGGGACGACAGTACTCCACTCGGGGCAGGGAATTACCAAGAAACAGGGAGTGTGCTTCACCTGTTTGAAGATCTGCATGTGTGTGCGTGTCGAGTGTGTGTGTGGGTCACCTGTTTGAAGATCTGCATGTGAGTGTGTGTCGTGTGCGTATCGGGTGTGTGTGTGGATCACCTGTTTGAAGATCTGCATGTGTGTGCGTATCGAGTGTGTGTGTGTGGGTCACCTGTTTGAAGATCTGTATGTGTGTGCATGTCGTGTGTGTGTGTCGTGTGTGTGGGTCACCTGTTTGAAGATCTGTATGTGTGTGCGTGTCGTGTGCGTGTCGTGTGCGTGTCGTGTGTGTGTGCGCGCGTCACCTGTTTGAAGATCTGCATGTGTGTGCATGTCGAGTGTGTGTCGTGTGTGTGTGTGGGTCACCTGTTTGAAGATCTGTATGTGTGTGCGTATCGAGTGTGTGTGTGTGGGTCACCTGTTTTAAGATGTGTATGTGTGTGCGTGTCGTGTGTGTGCGTGTGTGTGTGCGTGTGGGTCACCTGTTTGAAGATCTGCATTTGCGTGGCGTTGGTGAGGAACGTCCGCATGCTCGCCGAGCGGTGGCACACGAACGCGTCCTCGCTGAAGGTGATCGGCTCCCCCTGCAGGTGGACACAACAAAGGCAAAGGTTCCCGTGTAGACTCTTCACGGACCGTTGCGTCAAGGGCCATTTTGCGAACAACTATTTTCAGTAAAGTCACGTAGAAGGGAAATAATAAAATAATAAAAATAAAACATAATAAAATAATTCTCACGACGTTTCGGCCACAACGCAAGCAGCCGTCCTCAGGTGAAGAACAGGTCTGTCGGGAAGACAGCGTCTGGATGTGTGTGTGGGTCACCTGTTGAAGATCTGCATGTGTGTGCGTGTGTTCAGACGCTGTCTTTCCGACAGACGTGTTCTCACCTGAGGACGGCTGCTTGCGTTATGGCCGAAACGTCGTGAGAATTATTTGATCATGTTTTATTTTTATTATTTTATTATTTCCCTTCTACGTGACTTTACCGAAAGAACCAAGAAGATGAATCCCTGCAGTCACGAAAGCTTTAAATCGAAATTTAACTATTTTCAGGCCGACAAGCGGAGACACGCAGAGACACGCGGAGACACGCAGGGACACGCAGGGACACTCGGAGATGCGGAGACCCGGATACACGCAGAGACACGTGAAGACGTGGCGCACGCACGGGCTGGAAGCGGAGCGCCTCGCGGTAGCTCCCGTACAGCGCCGCCTGCGACTTGAGGAAGGCGCGCGCCACGCCGTCTCCCACGCTCGCCGGGCGCTTCAAGCGGGAGCGCAGCGCCGCCACCTGCATCCGCACACGAGCGGAGACAAACACCAAATGCTGTTTTTCCACTGCATAAGCCGAGCCGCACCGGGGCCGTGCGGAGCCGGCTCGGCGCAGCTTTGGAGGGAACCGTGCTGTTTTTCCACTGCATAAGCTGAGCCGTGCTGCTGTGTGTATAAGGTGCCACGGTTGGCGAGATGTCGTAGGGTTCGATCCCGACCCTGACGCCTACATGTTTGGAGTTTGCGGTGTCTCGCTCCCATGGTTGCGTGGATTCTTATGGTTTTTTCCCTCCACATTTAGAATCAACAACACGCGTTTAGAGTATTTGGCTGCGATAAATGTCCACATGATAAGCCACTTTGGTTGAGCTCTCATTTGTGATAGCCAGGTCACATCTGAAAAAAACTTCATAGCTCAGTGGGTAAGATGAAAATAATTTAATTTTTTAGTTTTATGTATGTTGAACTTCTTTCGCAACTATACGCAGCAGCCAACCGTGCTAATCAGAGGTACGAGGGGGGGGAGGGAAGGACATCGTAAACGTTGCAAAGCACGTTCAGATAATTCGGCGCCTGAGTGCGTATCTCTCTAAGACCAGACACGTTTGTTTTAGGAAGCCGTCTTCCTCCGATTCCAGAGCGTATGTATGATTAGAATAATACATTTTTATAGCGCCATCTATATGCAAAACTGCATCTCACAACGCTGTACAAGGCAACAGCAAAAACAAAAAGACGTACAGCATACCAAAACCAAGGTCAACTCGGTTAAAGGCCGCCATAAACTAAACGGTTTTTAAATAGGACTTAAATAGTGAAAAGGAACCTAAGTTGACAAAGTGCGCTCCACACCATGGGACATGCAAATCTCATCTTGTCTTATATAGATTTATATAGCGCCTTAGTCGAAGGCACTTTACAATAGTTATACAACTGTATATTAGAGGACTGTGGTTAAAATAAAGAGTGGGATTATTCAAAGTGTTGCTGTAGTTATGGTGACAGTAAGGAGGACAGTTGGGGGTGGTTAAGGAGGGGTTGGAGTAGTGAAACGCCCACCTCAATAATCTTGCATTTCATTGACCGCTGAATGAGCAGCTCCATACTGGACAAGATGATTGATAAAGTATGACGAGCACATCCGTCAGTGGCTCCGTAGCATTGTGCACGTTTGATTGGCGAGGGACCTCACTCGTTTGAAGGAGTAAGAGCGGCCGTCTGGAATGCTCTCCCTTCCGATGTTAGGAAGCCACTGGAGCTATGCACTTTTAAATCATCTAGGTTGAAAACTAATTTCTTTAAAAGTGCTTTTTGTGTTTAGTTTGTTGTCCTTCCCCTGCACCTATGATTAGCATGGTTGGCTACGTACGGTGCGAAGACGCGCATACATACATCATTGATGAGCTTATGAACCCACGTCATGCATTACCTACGTATAAGTCTCTGCTAACTGGACACGGTCGATCAACTCGACTTACTTAGCTATTGGTGACTGTGCGAGCGTGTGTGCGTGGTGCGTGCGTGGTGCGTGCGTGGTGCGTGCGTGGTGCGTGCGTGCGTGGTGCCGCGCGTGGTGCGCGCGTGAAGCGCGCGTGGTGCGCGCGTGGTGCGCGCGTGGTGCGCGCGTGGTGCGCGCGTGGTGCGCGCGTGGTGCGCGCGTGGTGCGCGCGTGGTGCGCGCGTGGTGCGCGCGTGGTGCGCGCGTGGTGCGCGCGTGGTGCGCGCGTGGTGCGCGCGTGGTGCGCGCGTGGTGCGCGCGTGGTGCGTGCGTGGTGCGTGCGTGGTGCGTGCGTGGTGCGTGCGTGGTGCGTGCGTGATGGACCCACCACGTCGCTGGGCAGGCCCTGCAAGTCATTGAGCGGCGTCTCGATGGTGTTCGTGTCGATGGTGAACACGATGGCATCGTCCAGCGGCATCGTCCGCACACGCTACGCAACATCCACGCGCAACAAAGACAACATAGAGATAAGGACAAAGATCCCCCCCCTCACACCCTTTCAGCACGCGTGGTTCTCTTCAGAATGTTGGGTTAACCGTTGTTAGCGGGCACCGATGAAGGCTTGCACTGCGCACGTGGGGGTGGTTTGGCTCGCAACATGCCCTTCTGCCTTTGTCTCCCCAGTGCTGATATTACACACCGCACTGGGTACTACTTTCAGGCTGAGTCGACCTAGAGGAGGCCCAGGACTAGTTCAGATATTCTCCACTGATATTGGCTTGAAGCGTGACTCAAACACGGGTCACCGGGTTCATGGCGCAGTGAGGTGACGAATTGGGGACAGCCAAATCGCAGCGCACCTGCGTCTGTTGCCGACACTTCCAGCACAAGCAATCCTGGGTGCAGAGTTTCACTTTCCTTCTACACCTCCTCGCCCCGTCTGTTTCCCGCTGCCACCGCGGGGAGCATTAGCGGTTGTTTTATCGCCGTGCTTCTAGCGCGATCAGCTGTGTGCCGCGTGTGCAATATAAGTCAAGCTCGGTGTCGTTCGTTACCCTCCGATTAAAAGCCACAGTAAGTTGTAAATAAAGCTCTGCTGGACGAGAGAGGCGCTTTCGTTCTCAAACAGCCTCGAGTGCGGCGTGAGATCGGTGGCATCGCCGGACCGTTGCTCCATTGCATGCATGCGCGTTCAACTTCTTTCGCACCGTACGTAGCCAACCGTGCAAATCGGAAGGTGCTAATCGCTCAACAAGCAGCCTGGTTAAGCGAATGCTTGTACACACGATCACAAATCGATATTGAAAATAATACTTCCTGTTCTAGATTTGAAGTTTTCGTGACTGCAAGGATCCATACTTTTTGGTTTTTTTCAGTAAGTCACGTAGGTAAAAAATTATAAAATAAAAGAAAACATTTTTTAGTTGTTTTCATTTTTATTTATTTTATTTTAATCATTTTTTACCTACGTGACTTTACCGAAAAACCAAAAAGTATGAATACTTCACGTGCCCAAGGAGCACACATTGAATAAGAAATCCTTCTTCTATGAAGGTTTAGCTATTGCACAGGGGAATACAAGCGCGCCGTACACAAACAAAGGACCCCCCACCCCCGTATAGCTTTCACAGACTGTTTGGGGCAACTGCTGTTAGCGAGCACCTATGAAGACCGGCACGAGACACGAAGGGGTGGTATGGGCAGTACGACACCCGGTGAACTTTGTCTGCCGAGTGCTGATGTTTACACACCACACCAGGTACACATTTAAGGCCGAGTCGACCTAGGGGAGGTCCAAATCCGGTTCAGATATTCATCACTAATGTTGGCTGCGAGCGTAAATCGAACGTGGGTCACTGGGTACGCAGCAGTGTGCTAACTACTACTCCCCACATCCACAAACACAACAACCGCCATTCGCCACCAAGTGGCGATGACATCACCACGGCGCTTGTGCCAGGCTAGGTGCACTTTAAGGCCAGGTAAAGTGTCGAACGCCCGCTGGCAGGTTGGTATGGGACAGACTCAGGTGCCATGGGTTGACTAACTGACTGACTGACAACAACAACCGCCATTCGCCACGAAGTGGCGGTGACGTCACCACGACGCACACACACACACAGACCGTGGGTAGACGTTGATGTAAAGTATACATACGTCCATGAGCGAGGAATGGACTCCGATGAGAAAGGGCATCGGAGCACTGCACACAGGGAAACGACAACAACGCTCCGCGTGACTCGCCCACTCTTGAGGCGACATGACACACACTCCTAGCCACGACTTGGCCTTGCCTCTGAGCTCAGCCTGAGCTGAGCCACCAATGCGTCTTTGAAAGCAACGGAGAGGCTCGAACCTGAGCCAGGGCGTGACCAGGAGCACGGCGCTGGGACGCAAGCACACCCAGCCCCCCCCCCCTGCACGTGCGCATCACTCAACCCACTGCCATTTCAAGAAGAAACTGAAGCTATGCACTTTCAAATCGAGTGGATTGAAAGCTCATCTCTTTAGAACGGATTTTTGTGTTTAGTTTGTTGTCCTTTCCCCCGCACGCACCACCAATCAGCAGCGGTTGGCTACGTACGGTGCGAAAGAAGTTCAACGTGCATACAATCGGCCATTTAACAGCTGCCCTAGGTTCCGCACATTCTGCAGTATGCCAGGTGTAACCCTCCAATGGACATCTGTGATTGTTGAGTGAACCCGTGCGACTTTGTTGAGCCCATATTTATTCAGAGTCCTTCATTGTAGCCTCCTTCATCCAGCCCGTGCCATATTTTCCGTAGTTCATTCCCCATTGACGCTCCAGCGACGAAGCTTTCGCCAAAGTTGAGGCGCGCTTTCGCCAAGGGTCATGTGGAGCGACACTCAATAGATGTTTGACATGAGAGGCTGCCCCCCATGGCTCAAGTTGTAACTTTCCGACGGCTCCGTCGCCCTTGCCCGTCGCTCGGCTCGCCACGTCGCCACCGCACGGCGGTGACAGCGCCGTGGTTTTTGGCCTCCTGCGGCAAAGGATAGCAGCTACGAACATCGGGCGGGGGGTGACGGTGGTGGTGACGGTGGCGGCGGTGCTTGCCTGCAGTACTCGAGCAGGTGTGGAGGCAGTAGGGGGATGTACACGTGCTGCCAGCTCATGGGGTAGAGCAGCAACGCCAGCGCGTGGACGCATGACGACAGCTGCACGCCTCGCACACAGACACACAAAGGTCCACCCCACCCCCGTGTAGCCTACACAAACTGTTGAGGCAAGTGCTGTTGGTGAGCTTATATGAAGCACGAGCGATCGGGGATAGGAGGTACAGTGATTCCGCGGACGACAAGCCCAAGGCCGGGTGCCCGCGAGGTCGGCGGAGGGAAAGGCAGATTGAGCTCAATGGCTCCCTACTCACATGGTGGGTAACGTTGAGGAACGTTGTCGCTTCTTGCCGTATGGCTACCGATATTAGATGCAGGGCAACAACTACAATGTCACGTTCAGGTGGTGGTCAAGCCAGCAGACAACGGCGTCAGGAGCAGCGGAGTGCATCATCGCTGCGATGTCTCCTTCGTATTTGTGCATCGGGGAATTGCGTCGTTATACAAGTCGCACGGTCTGATCTGGATGACCACAGTCGCGCACTACTGGAGAGTTTTAAAGTTTACATTTGTGCGTCAGGCATCCGCATCTGCTGCCATGGTGCAGATACGTGGCAATTTTAGAGGAGGGTAAGGGCAGGAAAGGGAAGGGGGGCAGGGGGTGGGGGGTGGTGAGAATCCGATCAAGGCGGGCACGGCCCACGAGGCGTTGGTGGTGGCCTTCACCGGGTCCGTCTCCACAATCCTGATGCTGAAACGGTGCACCAGGCCGGGCCGACCTACAGGAGGCCCAGAACGGCTTCAGGTATTTTGCCACTGATGTCGGCCGTGGCCAGGAACCCAGGTCGCCGTTAGACTCCCTAGCGGCCCAACTCCTGAGAGCGTTGGTGATCAACTTTAATGGACCAGCCGAGCAATATCACATCTCAACATTTTGTCGCGGATTACCACGCAGCTTTGTGACAATGTGCTCATCATTCTTTGGAGCAAGGGAAACAGAAACGCAGGTGCAATGGGCATTACAATAGAGTTTGAGCAACAGGAATGCGTTTCACCCACATAAGGTCTCATCACCGTGCCACACCGCAACTACAAAATAATATAAATGCCAAAAGTATCAACAAGAGTACGGCTTGGCACACGAGCCCTAATTACAGAGCAATGTGCTGTGTGGCCATGCTGTGGACTTGCCCGGGAGGTTTCGAATCATATACTTCATATGTACACCTTTCTTTTTTTCCGGTAAAGTCATGTTGGTAAAAATGTAATAAAATAAATTAAAATGAAAACAACTAAATAAAATCACGACGTTTCGGTCGCAACACAAGCGTCCGTCATCAGGTGAAAAAAATGATCTGCTGTTGTGGCTTTATATAGGTACAGGAGGGGGGGAATGGGGGGGGGGTTGGGGGGGTTGGGGTTTTGTAGAGTTGTGGCTGCAGGAGTTCAGGGGGGGGGGGGGGGGGGGTTGTGGTGTGCAGGGACGGATGGGGGCTGGAGAAACGTCGTGATTTAATTTACTTGTTTTAATTTAAATTTATTTATTACAATTTTCACCCACGTGACTTTACCAAAAAAACCAAAAGTCTGGATCCTTGCAGTCACGAAAACATTACATCTAGAATGTTCAGCTTTTTCGCGAAGCAGCGTTAACGTAAACATCCCCCTACGTGAGCAGTGGCGCACAGGCACGAGCCACAGGCAACGATGACACCGTCGTCATTAACGTGAGGACAAAATCACGAGCTAATAAGCCAGGCGAACGTTTCGGGCGATGGGCCTATTTCAGAGTTTCAGGCCATTTCCAGTAGCGTACGCTTAGCCCAGGGGTCGGCAAACTGCTGCTTCGTGACGTCATTTATTGAGGCCTCACCCTCCCCTATTCACCACACAGTGCATCGCCGTCTCTTGAAATATTGAGTTGTTTAACCAAATTCGAAAACAAATGGCCCTTCTTGTGATTTCGGTTCCCGACCCCTGGCCTAGCCCATACCGTATTCCTCCATCGCTCGCTCATGCCACTGCTGGCGGACAACAGGCTTCCCCTACGGCAAACTCCGAGAGGGTATTGTGGTCGACTCTTCCGCACTGCCCAGAAGCGTCGGAAGACGTTGAACTTCTTATGCGCTGTACGTGCTAATCAGAGGACTACCAACTAAGCACGAAGATCAATGAGTGGGCCGTACCCACGCTTTACCCCACCACACACAGCCTGCCAATCGACTGCTGCGGTGGGTGAACCCCATTCCTGGCGGTGGGTGAATGGAGGCGGTGGCGGGGGAGCAAGGGGAGGACGTGAGACACCGTTGTTTCAACTGCCACGCCGTGGGATGGAGTCGCAGCGGCGGCCTCTGGACTTCGCTTCCGAAGCGCTGGCCACTACACCGCTGCGGCAGGGGCCTTGTTCCGCTCCGTACGTATGTTGAACTCCTTTCGCAACGTACGTAGCCAACCGTGCAAATCGAGGTGC